CGGAGAGGGTTGTCTGTAGGCAAGTAATAGTAGGCCTGCCACTTAGGGCTTGGGCGAGTGAAGATCGCTTAAGGAGCGTGCCAGGTGATCTTGGTTGTGGACTGAAAGTGACAACTACGTAGCTGGGTCCTGTCATTTTTCTCTTCTGGGTCTCTTTTTGCAGTAGGTTACTTCCAGGTATCATTTCACACACTAGCAAGGTTATGCTCAAAATCCTCCAAGGTAGGCTTCAGCAGTATGTGGACTGAGAACTCCCAGAAGTACAAGCTGGATTTTGAAGGTGCAGAGGAAGTAGAGACCAAATTGCTAACATGCGCTGGATTATGGAGAAAGCCAGAGTTCCAGAAAAACATCTACTTGTTTCATTGACGACACAAAAGACTTTGTGTAGACCACAGCAAACTGGGACAGGAAGCAACAGTTAGAACGGGATATGGAACAACTGATTGGTTCCAAATTGGGAAAGGAGTACGACAAGGCGGTATATTGTCTCCCTGCTTATTTAATTTATATGCAGAATACATCATGCGGAAGGCTGGACTGCAGGAATCCCAAAACGGAACTAAGATTGCCGGAAGAAATATCAACAACCTCCGATATGCAGATGATACCACTCTGCTGGCAGAAAGTGAGGAGGAATTAAGGAACCTCATAATGAGGGTGAAAGAGGAGAGTGCAAAAAACGGTCTGAAACTCAACATCAAAAAAACTAAGATCATGGCCACTGGTCCCATGGTGGCTTACAAGTAGGTGGATCAATCAATGGGTTTTTGGTACAGCGTGGCACTAAGATGTCCATTTTGCACAGTTTTCCACTGGTACCTAGAAAATGCACCTCTTGTGTAGACTGTTCCAGAAAACGCCTGGTCTTCTTCAGGGGGACGTGACTGACGTCCTGGTGGAATTTCTTTAGGGATGTTTGGTGTACCCCTTGAGAGAGAAGGAGAAGCCCTTCATCCCAGTGGAGAGGGGAGAAGTGGCAGTGGCACAAGTCCCAAGGGGGGGGGGGATTCATTACTGCTTGCTTCCTTTGCCACCACCCTCCCCCAACCCTGAGCTGAGTGAGGGGTTCAAATCCACACAGCCCCAACCTCCCGGGGCACTTCTCTCTGCGCTGGGAAATGTCCCTTCTTGGATGACAACTTCAGAACACCCTGCCAAAAAAAAGATCAGGAGGCAGAAGTATCTGCTTGGGGGGGGGGGAGATGACCCCAGCCTCAGTCGCACACAATTCCTTTGCCTTCAGGCAGCACCTTGAAAGCCAATGGCCAGGCAGACGTTCCCCTTTCCCCTCCCCATCTCAGCTGCCCCCCCCACCACCCACCTGAGAAAGGTGACCTGCATGGAAAAGGCTGGGGGGGGGGGAGAAGAGGTTAGTCAAAGCGGCTTCCTCTTATTATTTCTCCCCCTTAGCTGCTCCAACCAAACTCAACACAATCAAAACAACAACATTTATTGATCCTTTTCATAAGAGTAAAAAAACAAACAAAAATCCCACCCACAATAAATGGGCAAAGAGCCTCTGAAGTCCAGTCCAGGAAGGGCAGCGATGCTTTGGAAGCAGGGAGAGGGGCTGCCTGGGCCTGGCCTGGGATCAAGTCCCAAGCCCTCGTCTTCGCCGCACCTGCCCCCGGATCCCAGCTCCAAAACAGTCTCCTCTGTTTCACAAGCCACCTCTGGAGGGAGGCTCCCTCAGGAAGAGGGGCCGGGCGGGGCCTTCTCGTCGTCCGGCGGGCAGTCCACAAAGTCAGCCAACATGGCCTCTGTCTCGTCCACAGCCAATGACTGTTGAAGAGGAAAGGCGGTCATCGTGGCCTGTCGTTTCTGGTGCTCCAACCGTCCCCCCTCCCCTCCCCAAGGAGCAGCCCCCTTAGCCCCCCCTGCCCACCCATCCCCAGCCCTAGAGGTGCTTTATTCTTCTCAGGGAATTGCATTTGAGCAAACCAGTGCCCTCCCCCCTTCAAAGGGGCACTAACAACGCTTGGGCAAAGCCTCCCTAAATGTGACTCAGACCAAGGAAGGCGCTGGGCCATTTTGGCTAGAACAGGAGAACAGGCTCGCCATGGGGGTCTCTTGGCTACTCCTTGGCTGGAAAAGCCACCCCTCCCTCAAAAAAATAAAATATAAACCCTGCAAAGACAAGAGAAACACTGCCCAAAGCCATTTCTTCCCAAGAGCAGCTTGGCCGGCCATGTGCTGGAAGGGCAGTCCCTCCTAAACAGGAGGAGAAGGAAACCTCCACCGCTGAGCGTGGGGGGGGGCGTGGGGGGGGAACAGCTGGACCTTGGGAGTGGTCGCCCACAATTGAGTGTAAACTGCCCAGAGTGGCCTTGTCGCCAGAAGGGAGCTCCAGAAGCCGAACAAAGAAGTAAGAAAGCAAATCACCCACGGCTAGGAGGGACCTGCAGCAAAGGCTCAGGACCCCCAGGGCCCCCTTGGGCTAGTACGCTTCTGGGCAGGTAGCCGTGTTGATGCACTGTACGAAAACCAGCCCATGGCCCTTGGGAGGCGGCCACGAGGGCTGGCGTCTGAAGTGCACCAAAGCCTTGCTCTCCCCCCCCCCTTCAACGGCCAGGAGACCCTTTGTGGGCTTTGCTGGAGCAGAGCCGCCCGGCCACCTGCCCGGGAAACCTTAGTAGACCAAGAATCCAACGGGCACGGGACTCGTCGGTCTCTCTCTCTCTCTCTTTGGCCAGGAGACACAACGCCCTTCGGCTGGAGCCAGCCTGGTCTGGGCAACGCAGCCCAGCACACGGTGGAGCCCCCCCCCCGACTCTCCGCACCCCCTCGTGCTCACCTCCTCCTCCTCCTCCTTCACCTCCACCACTTCATCTGCCAGGGGCGGCGGGGGCTGCTTCTCAGACTCCCCGCGCACAAGGCCAGCCTCCAGGCCGGTGTCTCTGCTGCCTCCGGCACACACCAGAATCTCGCCGGTCTCCTCCTCCTCCTCCTCCCTCCGCTCCTGAGGATCTGCTGCTGCGGCTGCTGCGGTGGTGGTGGCGGTGGCTGTCTTCGTTGAGGCTTCTGTGTCCGCAGGGCCCAGCTGCTCCATTGGGAGCCTCTCCTCTTCCTCTAGGGGAGCAGGGGGTGGGGAGGGGGCCTCCTGCCTGGGAGGGGGCAGGAGGGAGAGAGCACTGGGGAGCTGCAGCTCTTGAACCACAGGCGGCAAGGGGGGCCCTTCGGCCTTCAGCAGCACCACTTCCACTGCAGTCCGGCCCCCTTCCACGCAGTTCTCCTCTTCCTCCACCTCTTCCTCCTCTTCCTGGACCGGGTGGAAGGCTTCCTCTTCCACCTCCATGTGCAGCCCAGCCCCCTCCTCTTCTTCCTCCTCCTCCTCGTCAAGCTCTTCCTCCTCCAGCAGCTTGGGGGGCTCCTCTTTCACCGGAAGCAGCTCAGGGGGTTCCTCCTCATTCCGGTGGGGCAGTGTGGGTGGCAGGCCCTCCTCTTCCTCGGTCAGGCCCTCCTCCTCCTCTTCCTCCTCCTCCTCCTCCTCCTCCGTGATGCCCTCCTCCTCCTCATCAAAGTCATCCTCCTCTTCCTCGTCCAGCTCCTCCATTTCCTCCTCGTCCAGCTCCTCCTCAAACTCTCCCTCCTCTTCGTCAAACTCTTCCTCCTGATCAGCAAAGGACAAGAGGACCGGCAAGCTTCTCACCTGCCCACCCTCTCTGGGAACAAAACAGACCAGTCCCCACCCAGTCTCTCTCTTTCTCACACACACACACACACACATACACACACAGAGCCAGCCTGTGGCCTCTTCTCCCCTCCCTCCACCAAAAGTCTGTCTGAGCAACATACAAGTGAGCCGGGGAGCCAGAGAGAGCCACAGGCTATCTTTGATGGGAGCCAGAGAGAGCGCCCAGCCGGGTCGAAGCAATGGACGGCAGCCGTCCTCCTCGTGGCTGCTGGAGTGGAGGGTGCAAAGAGCCCACGGGGCCCCGCCTGCAGGGCGCCGAGGCACCCACCCACTTACCTCCTCCTCATCAAAGTACTCCTCATCCTCTGGGAAGTCCTCCTCCTCCTCGTCCTCCTCGTCTTCCTCCTCCTCCTCCTCCTCGCTGCTGTTGATGTTGATGACGGTGGGGTCTTCCTCCATCAAGGCCGGGAGCGCAGCATCGCTGGCCTCTGGAGCCGGGGAAGAGGGCAACGCCACGGCTGCCGGGGGAGGGGCCAGGGGCGGGGGCCCCAGAGGGAGAGGGACCACTGCCTCCGGGGGCGCCTCCTCTGACGGGGGCGGTGGTGGTGGAGGAGGAGGAGGAGGAGAGGAGGGCGCAGCAGAGAG